AGTCGCTTTTTTGCTGAAGCCGTTGAGGCGGCATCTTCAGGAAGGCGCGTTTCTGACCGACGCGACAAAGCCAATTGGTGGAGGTGGCAGCCCCCACTTCTGCTAAAACGGTATGCCTGACGTTGGCACGAAAGCCTAGATGACAGGCGCCCATCTTCACCAGTCGCTGGTCCTCAATTTCTTCGAATGCAAGTTCAAGTAGTCTTAAGAAGTGTACGGAGTACCCGAGAGCCTGAAAAGCAATTTTAAAGAGCAGCAGTGCTTTGTTGGCGGACACCGTTCACCCAGCTCTCCAACTTGGCAACAAAGCAGATTGGGTCTTTTTGGCAGCTGGGTCATGGCTTTAGCGATCATCGAACCCCACGCAAAATGGAGGGGCAGGCAGTGATTGGCGAAAGCTCTCCGCTGATCGCATGCAGGGCCCGAGCTCTGACGTAGCTTCGCCCAAAGCTCCTGAAACACACGCATCTCAACCGTCCGAAGCTTCGCCCTGTCCGCCGCCCAGCGCGCCATGAAGCTGCCTCGAGCAGTCTAATCAATATGACGGAAGCTGCGCGCGAAGCGGGCGACAGCGAAACACACGACGATGCCGTAGCGGCGCCTCCCCCAGCGGACGCGAGCACCGACCGAGACGAATCGACAACAGCCTCCGAAGACGTCCACGACGAGCAGGCAACCGCGGGCGATGGCGCCGACACCGACGGGGAGTCTGGTGCCATAGTAGAGCACGGCGATGAAGATGGAGAGGAAAATGGCGATGGCGATAACGATGAAGAGGAAGAAGAGGAAGATGACGATGAAGACGAGGAGCCAAAGCTCAAATACGCCCGCTTGACGCCACATCTCGGGTCCGTCTATAGGAATGGCGACGCGACCAGCTCGTTTCTCGTTGCGGGGGATAAAATGGTGCGACTTTCCTTTCCCCGTTCTGTCGCCTCTCCTAGGCCGTTCGCTAACTGCATGCTACCCAGATTCTTGGGACACACAACGGCAACATCGTGAGTACCACACTCCCAACATCGCCAACCGCACCCTAACTCCTGTCACAGCATGTTGTCCAGCTCCCGATCTTCCAGTCGCTACGTGTCTATCACGCCCATTCCGCATCCGTAACGGGCGTGTCAATCTCCCCCTACCCGCCTCCGCTGCCAAGTATCAAGGCTGAAACCGCCGCCCGAATCGCCTTACAAGCCACGAACAGCCCGCTGCGGCCCAGCACGGGCACTACCGAGAGCACAGCGTCTCCTGTAGCTGCCTCGAGGAAACCAAAAGATCAGCATGCCGTCCCCAATACCCCGTCGAACAATATATACATTGCAACTTCGTCAACCGACGGGAATGTCTGTGTGCAGTCACTCGTCGACTTGAAGGATGTTCAACTCCGGAATTTCGCCCGCCCAATACAAGCCGTGGCCCTCTCCCCGGAATATAGGACGGACAGAATGTACCTCTCTGGTGGATTGGCCGGGCAGCTGATCTTGACGACAGGTGCTCCCCTTGGACGGAGCACCGCAACCACAACCGGCGCGGCGGCACAGGCTGCAGGCTGGCTGGGAGGCATGGTTGGCGCCGGAACTGGAAAAGACACCATCTTGCATTCGGGCGAGGGCACCATCAACGCCATCAAATGGTCGCTGTCGGGGAGGTACGTCGCATGGCTGAACGAACACGGCATCAAGATCATGCGGACCAAGCTACATCTCGAGAGCGCCGATGCGGATGACGCCTGGAAGCGAATTGGTCACGCAGAGAGACCGCTGGGAGAGGAATGGGAAACAATGGCCAGTGTCTGGAAGGGTCGAGTCGAGTGGATTGACGAGCAGACAGTCGAGCAGGACGAAAGCGCCAAAGAGCCTGCGGAGGTGGTCAAGTCTCCCGCCGCGGAGAAGTTGAAGCAGCAGCAGCTGAAGAGCAACAAGGTGATCGAGAGGTTGCTTGTGGGGTGGGGAGGCACAATTTGGATCATGCATGTCCACCCCGGTGGCGTCGGCACCGGCAAAAACGCCGGCGAGCGGTCGGCGGGGAGGGCTGACATCGCCAAAAAGTAAGCCATCACCCCTCTTCTTTTCAGCAATTGCGACTGACAGCGCTTCAGGCTTCGGCTGGATTGCATTATTTCCGGCATTTCGTTATATACCCAGAACTTGTTATTAGTCCTTGCTTTCTGTTCGAACGACAAAGAAGACGACGAGGAGGACGAGGTAAAACCAGCCCGTGGTCATAAGCACACATTATCATCAACTTCGACCGGAAGTCAGCCCTCTGGCGGCATCAAGCGCAGGCAGAACAACTCCCCGCCGGAGCTACGACTCATCGATCTCACGTCACACGAGGAAGTCTACATGGACGTGCTTAGTGTGAGCCGCTTTGAACGTCTGTCGTCAAATGACTACCATCTTGGCGTGTTGCCTGCGCGCAATGTAGCCGCCGCAACGTCGACCCGTGGAGCCCTGGAGACATTGGCAGGCTTTGGCACCGACATGCTCAACGCTGCCCTGAACCCGAAGGCATTGCTGTTCAGCTCTGGAGCTAGCGTCAAGAGCAAGGACAGCAACGACGGTGCCTCGGGAACCTCGACATCCATCCTTCGTGCCGGCCGCTCTTCGGTTCATCCGAATCTCGGGAAACCAGGGCTCAAGATCTTTATCCACAGCCCGTACGACTGCATCCTAGCCACACAGAGAGACCTAGGCGACCACTTGGCATGGCTCTTGGAGCACAAGCAATACCAAGAATCTTGGGAGCTGGTGGACGAACATCCGGAAATCGTTGGCTCGCCTGAAAGATCCATTGAGCAAGGGGCCTCGACGCCAGACCGAACACAAGGGACAGACGACTTTTACGAGGAGACCTCGTCGATCGCTGATGGCCTCCAAAGCTTCTACTCATCTGCAGAGAAAGAAAAGCGGCGGATCGGAGAGCTGTGGGTGAAGCAACTCATCGATGACGGCAACTGGACCCAGGCAGGTCAGATATGCGGGAAGGTTGTCGGCACTCCGGACAAATGGGAGATGTGGGTGTGGAGGTTCGCTGGGGCACACAAGTTCGACGAGATCGTCAATTACATCCCTTCGGAGCCCACTCATCCGCCAATCCCGACGACTATCTACGAAGTTATCCTCGCCCACTACTTGAAGGTCAATAAGCCGATGTTCCAGGACCTCCTGGGAAGGTGGCCACCCGAGCTGTTCAACGTCGGCGCTGTCACAGCTACTCTTGAAGACCAGCTCAAATACCGCGAAGTTCGAGAAGACAGTATTGAGGATGGCGAGGTTGGTCGAGACTGGCGCATTGTCATGGAAAGTCTGGCAAAACTTCACGAGGCCAATGGACGCAGTCGAGAGGCATTAAGGTGCTACATCAAGCTCCAAGATGCGGATTCGGCAATGAGGCTGATCAGGACCGGCCACCTCGCGGAGGCGGTTGCGGACGATATTCCCAGCTTTATTGGCCTCCGAGTCCCCCCGGACCGACGCAGACACATGAGTCCCATGGACCTCGAGGAGGCCACATCGGAAGCTATTACTCTGCTTGTCGATGAAGCTCAGCATGGCCTGGTCAAACCAGAGGTTGTGGTTACGCAGCTTCAGGACAAGGAGCTTCACTTGTACACCTTCTTTTACTTGCGTGGCCTCTGGAAGGGAGAGGGGATTCATGAGCATGGCCAGGAATCCCGCGCTCGGCTTGTTTCGGATAGCCAGTCGCTGGTTGACAACTTCGCCGATCTCGCTGTCCGTCTCTTTGCACTCTTTGACCAATCTCTGTTGATGACATTCTTGAAGACGTCCACCGCCTATACTTTCGAGAAGGTCAGTCTCACTCACTCTTCATTGCCCAAGATATCGCTAATCAGCACAACAGGCAGCCCAAGAATGCGAGCAGCACAACTACATCCCAGAGCTTGTCTACCTCTATTCTAAGACTGGTCAGATGAAGCGCGCGCTCTACCTCATCATCGACCGTCTCGGTGACGTCAGCCGCGCTATCGCGTTCGCCAAGGAACAGGATGATCCAGACCTTTGGGAAGATCTGCTCAGGTACAGCATGGACAAGCCTCGCTTCATTCGCGGCTTGTTGGAGGAGGTCGGAACAGCGATCAATCCGATAACGTTGGTGCGGCGCATCCCCGAGGGTTTGGAGATCGAGGGTCTCCGAGAGGGACTGAAACACATCATGAAGGAGCACGAGATCCAGTACAGCATCAGCTCAGGTGTTGCCCGTGTTCTGCGAAGCGAAGTCGCCGCTGCTCAGAACCTCTTGCGTGTCGGGCAAAGGAAGGGGATCAAGTTTGAAGTCGTCGTCCAGGCTCCTGACCACGTCGACATCGAAACGAAGGACATCCCCGTGGCGGGTGCTGATGCCCCGAAAGCAGCAGAAAAGCCTGCAGATGAATCGGACGAGGCTTCCGAAGCGACGCCCCAGCCGCCGCGGGAGAAGAAATGGGCCCCTGGTCACTGCGCCGAATGCCTTGAGCCGTTCGTCGCATGGGAGAGGGAAACTCTTGTCGGCTTCGCGTGCAGTCACGTATTTCATGTCAGACATCTGCTCGAGCGTCTGCACCCTGGTGAGCCCGTTGATGAGGATGTGGTCGGGGCGGTGGCGTCGCAGCGGACGCATCATCTTGTTGGGACAAAGGTGACGCACGCTCGGCTGTTGAAGGATAAGATTCGTGGGGGGTGTCCGGTTTGTACTAATAAGGACGATTCAATGTGATTGAACATATGTCATAGCGGAAGGGTTTGGGTACGTACATAGTTTTACCTCGGTTGCATGGCGGAGGCCGACTGCATTATAATACGAGGCGTTTGAAGCATTGGATTCTTTCTGTATGGAGCGTTATCACGTTTGCCATTGATGAAGTCTTGTCGAACTGAGCTTGTGTCATTCTGTTGTTTGGTGGGTGGTGGGTGTTGTTGTTACCCCTGAATGGCTAGCCGAGTGGCTCATCGGCGGCCACCCATGGGTGACAGATCTGGAGCGGACGTTCACCAATGTTTCAAGTCGCTTTAGCCAAGTGGTTACGGCGCGGCCCTGCTATCAAGCAGTTCAGGCCGTCCCTTCGGGGGCGTAGGTTCGAATCCTGCAGGCGACGATCCTTTTTGATGGGTGGTACCCTGCTTTGTTTTTGGCCCTTTTCACACACCACCGTGGTTGCAGATCAGTACCCGGAGGCTGAGACCTTTTGTTTCGGGGGCGCAAACGTCAGGGATAGGGGCAGGATGGGGATGGTCGGATGGGGTAAATCAGCTGGGTTGACGAATGTCAAGATTGCCTCTAACAGGCCCTCTCAACTCGTGCTTCGAGGTTGATGCTCTTCTTACAAAACTCCCATTCTATCCCCTCAGCGTGTCCCAAATCCTGCTGCCTGATCCTGTCACACTGAAACTCATATTGTATTCAGCTTCGAATCTTGACTGGGCAGGCCCGAGTCTCGAACCACGATTCGTTATATGGAACATCAAGATGCACTCCCAAGCCACCACCTTACCGGACCGTAAGCAACAGCGCCGGCCGTTACTCAACTTTCCATGCCCTTTCCATGTCCTGTCTATTCTAGCCATGAAAGCAGACAACTCGGACTGCATCTCGTCAGGTACCACGAATCTCTGTCGGGGTCCTGAACCCAGAGGTTGCGGGATGACATGCCAGAAGACCAGACACTCTACCATCAAATACACCTCGGGGCGTGTGGCTCAGTTGGTAGAGCGTTCGCTTAGCATACCACGAAACACCCACAAGGTGTCTTAAACCAAGCATACCACGAAACACCCACAAGGTGTCTTAAACCAGTATGCGAAAGGTCCTGGGTTCGATTCCCAGCTCGTCCAAACTCCCCCCACTGGAAAGTGGAGTCTCCTTTTTGCCCGACTTTTTTGTATCCATAGTGGCTGAACTGGGCTGAGGGTCGCAAGGGGCTGTCCATCTCTATGGAATGCTTTGGTCTGGGTGGAGGAATGAATGGGTCCCACAAAGCTCCAGGAGGTCTGGGTCAAAATCCGCGGCCGGGTATGGATTGTCGTCGTAGTGACTGCGCTGCCGGTTTCCGCAGGTCCCATGTTCATGTCGATTCCGAACTCCCAAACCTTACTTCAGGGGCGCAACGGTTGGCAATTTTCGAGGCTTAATGCCTGAGGAACACTGAAATGCGTTTTTGGGACCTCCGACTGTTGCTCACGAGCTTCGGCGACGAACTTGCCATCCAAATGAACCTGATATTTTCCTTCAAACTCCTATATCGTATGCGATGCGAAGCTCAGAACTTTTCGTCGTGTTCGTAATGTACTCTTCCAATCTCAAGCCCCATCGCCATCTCTACACCGCCGTGACTGCCACCGTCGGCTCAATATCGTACTCGACCTCCGTCCTAATCACATACTTTGCGCCCTTCCTCACCCCCGTCCCTTCATGCAACAACGCTCCCCTCGTGTCCCCGTGTGGGAAAATTGCCACACCGCCCATCACCGGCCTTACCGGATACGCGTTTAACACACCCTCCCTCGCGGACGGCAAGAAAAATGTTGTCTCTCCTCCCTCAAACTCGTCATTCAGATAAATCAAAAACGTAAACAGCGAGCTCTGCTTCTTCCCCGGCGGCGACGCATCGTACACGTACGTATCATCCGGGAGGATTCCACTCGGTGGCCACGCGCCGTCGATATGCGCGCGGTACTCCGCACCGGGGACGTACCGATACACGCGGAATCTCCGGTTCAGACCTCGCGCAAGACGGCCATCCACGGAGGAGGGAACGTACGGGGAGATGCGTGACCAGAGGGTATCGTGGAAGAGCTGGTCGACGACCCAGTAGAAGTTGTGGGCAAGGACGGAGATGTCGCCGTCCTCGCGGAGGGGTGCGTCGGGAAGGAAGTTAACGGTTTCGCCGGCGGCGATGATGGCCTGGCATTCTGACGGGGAGAGAACACGCGTAGCGAGGGAGAGGCCCGGGACAACAGGGTGGTGGTGGTAAGAGATGGGCGGGGGCGTAGCTGATAAGGGAACGCCGCCGGGTTTGGTGGTGTAGAGGATGGCGTCGTGGTGGTTTGGGGGCTTCCGGAGAGGGCCGGGAGTCGTTTCGATGACTCGGATGGACTCGCTGAGTTTGGGGGGCGCGGAGAGGAAGATGGTCTTGTCGAGAACGGAGGCGTAGGTCTGGATTGTGGGCGCCGAGGACATGGTGCGGAGGTCCCAGATCTCCTGGACGGCGATAGGGGATGAGGGGTCGAAGTCGGCATCGGGGTTGGTGTCAATGACACCGCAGACGCGAAGGACGCCGTCGAGAACGCTGATGAGCTCTCTATCCCTTGCGCTTCGATCTGTGACTTCACCTTCCACGGTGGAGACGCCGCTGATGACGTCGAGGTCGCGTACCCAGCGACAGAGGGCGCCGAGTTTGGGCTCCTCACCGCGGATTCTCATCTCAGCGAGGAGAACTTTCGCGTCGATCAATTTGCCATCGGCGAGTGCTGCTGTGATGCGTCCAGTCAAGTTGGAACTGGTACTGGTGCTGTTGAGACCGGTTGGACATGCCTGTCGGAAGTCCCAGACGGCGACTCGGAGGTCTTTGCACGCTCGAGATTTGAGGAGGGCCGGGTGTTTTGCGAGCTCAGCTAGGGTCTCAACGGTGATTTCTAGCTCCTCCTGTGAGACGACGGTGTGCAGGCTCGTGGGCTCGCCGCCGTTTTTGCTGGCAGCGTCATCGTTGCGGTCGTCTGCGTCGAGAGGCGGCGTGATCGGCTTGCTGGCAGTCTTCAAGTGCTTGTTCGGAAGATGGCTGGCCGAATCATTCTGCTTTCTTTTCTTGGATTTGTTTTTCGACATGGTGGCGGTTGTGAGTTGATGGCTGGTTGGCGTGAGGTCGATTGTGGATTCTCGAATTTCTGCAAGTGAGATCTGCAGTGGGCCCACACATTGCTGACAGAACCGACGCGCTAGGCTTATCATGGACTAGCGGCCCGGCAGTTCCCCCCACATTAGATAAGCGACCAGTCCTCAATATCAACCACTCATCTTCCCACGAACACCATTTCATCGCTGGCGCATCGATCGATCAAGCGCTAGACAAACTGAAGCAAACTTCAGTGTCAATATATTCTCGGGGTGTCGCAGGTATCGTTCTGTGTGAAAGCTCTGCACCCGACGCTGTCTGCTTGTCTACCCTGCCAGACGCGGATCTCTGGGATCAATGATGGAGACTCAGCGGGCACGGGTCCACGGGTTGCTCGGGATGGTGTGTGGTACCATTCTGCCCCAAGGCATTGTTCCCCGGCGTCGTTGTCAACACCCACACGATGCCTCCCACGCATTTCAGCCCGCCGCAGAGAATCACGCGGCCAAGTCAAGATGCACTTGAAGGTGGGAAACAAGAGGTTATTTTTCTTCAGGCGCCTTCCGCTTCAGAAACTCCAGCCCATATTAGATCCTTCCTGAGACTCCAATCAGAATCTGCAAGCTAGATTGCCACAATCGGCTGATATCCCGTCTTCCCTGTCTGTTTTCCCCTCTCGTTTCCCGCCGTCGATTTCCCCCCATCACACCGAGGAACGCTCAAGCTCAAAAGGTCGAGTCAACGTCGCACTCGAGCTGGGACCAGTCGCGCCACAGATTGACGCTCTGCTGGTGGAACTCAACATAGAGCTTGTGGCCGTAGTCGCCAAGGAAGGTGCTGATGTGGGAAATGAAAGTGTGGTCGTCATGCGCCCAGCACTGAAGGTTGGAGATACCGCCCGTCTTCAGCTCTCCGAACTTGACTGCAGGCGCACACATATTTGTTAGTCGCCAAGAGGTTGCAAGCGAGTTTCAGCATTGGACATGGGCGTAGGTACTTACCATCCAGGGCGTGGCACCATTCCTCCAACATCTTCTTGTCGTTGGCCCATCCAGCCTTGGCGGCGACGCCCTCGGCCGTGCCCTTGACGGAGTAGCGGCGAAGTGCGTCTTGGTTCCAGGCCTCGTCGAACTTGACGTGGAGCGCGCATGGAGCGCCCCGGCGAGCGGACATGCCATCGGGCTTGAATGCCACGTCGGTGCGTCCCTGTGCCTTCGGCATCGAAATGGCGCTTGCCATGGCCATCGGGGCAGCCAAAGCCTGGAGGAGAGTGATGACAATGGTGAACTTCATTTTGAAGGTGGAAGTAGATGATGTGAGAAGGTTGTTGTATCTGCGACTTGAAGTGGTGACTGGACTGGTCAAGGTCTGGAGGGTGTCGATCGTGTTGGAATCTGTCGAGTGTGGTGGAAGTGGTGGTGGAAGTGGAAGGTTGTTGTCCGTCAAGAGGGATCCTGGGGGTGTTTAAGTACTTGAGTAGATACCTGAAGCAAGTGAAGTTTTGCAAGTTCACGGCCAGAAATTCACATTCGGATCCATTATCATCCCATTCACTGCAATTGTTGAGCTCTTCAAAGCTGCAGACCAGTCCACGGAGTTAGTTTTCATCCAAGATAGTCGGCCCGGCTGTCCCCTTATACCAAGTTGCCGCGTGACATGCGTTAACATCATCCAAACTTCAAGCGCCCAACAGATTGCAGCCCGCCGATAACATGAAGAATCCGACCCAACACAAACATCATGCCAGTTGTTGTCCAAGCTTTGCCCAACGGACGGCAACATCTAATCTACCCCAGCGGGTTGCCGCAGAGCACGTGCACATGAGCAAACACGGTAATGGAACTGTGCTGGTAACTTTGGAGGAAAGTCATCATGGTGACCTCTTTGCCGCCCCGAAGGTCGATATTCAGCTTGCGGCAGCTGGCCGCAATAGAAGCTCGAGTTGTTTCGCATCGAGGGCTCCATAGCTGGAGCAAAACGCGTTGTTTCCCTTCAGAGCTCAGACTGCGGGGCGATTCCAGCGTTTGCGTTTTGCAAACATTGCACCCCCCAGCAAACCAAAAAAAAAAAAACAGTCAGGGAAGGGGCGACCAACAGGCCAGCATGGAGCCGAATCTCACCCTCTCCCCACCAATCGCATCCGCGCTAGGTCGAACGTTGAATAGTGACTGAGGCAGAATCTAGGCTGTGCCCACTTTTGAACGTCACTTCCTCTTGCCTCAACGCAACAAGAAATCCAGCTCCCCAACGCTATCGACAGTTGCGACTTTCTGCCATCTCATTCCAATTCCGACGTCAGCGTCTAGAACAGCCCTTCCAGATTGCGTTCAACTACCTTGCGCGAATTTCGGGTTCGTTTCGAGTAACGCACCGCCGACCTCCCAACGTCCACAACGGTCATCTGAAGCGGGCCATTTTACCACTCCTCGCCCGAGCAACTCGATTCCCGCTTTGACCATATCAGAGAAGCAATGATACCCTCCGATATCGACACGCTTGTCTTCCCGTTCAGAAACCGCCGTTTCCCTGCCCCGCCCAACACACTTCACGGTGCGGTGGATCCCCGAAACACGCCCAGCAACAACCTCCACTTTCCATCCACCCTCACCATCGCCAAAGCCAGCTCATGAGCGAGCGAGTCATACCGCCCCTCAACAGTCAATAGGGCGTGTGGCTCAGTTGGTAGAGCGTTCGCTTAGCATACTCCTGTATGCGAAAGGTCCTGGGTTCGATTCCCAGCTCGTCCACAGCCGTTGCCGGCGTCATTTCCCCCATCCAGGGCGTGTAGCTCAGTTGGCAGAGCGTTCGCTTCGCATAGTTTACCACCTTGCGAAAGGTCTTGGGTTCGATTCCCAACTCGTCCATCTCGGGGGGCGGACACCGGCAAATGGTTTCTTTTTGCATTTTTGCCCAGCTTTTTAGCCCCCTATGGTGCCGGTTCGAGAATCTTCAGTGGGCACGAAGTTGCGGACACAAAGTGCGGGGCTAAGAGGTGCCGTGTCC